AGTCATACAATTAATGTGCAATATGTACATTTTTATTTATAGATTCTAACTGTACAAGTCTATCTGTGCGATATTATGCAAATTCAGCATTTTTTACTTTTATTTTACATTTCTATATCTTCATACTCATACTAGGTGTACAGATCCATCTGCTCTACAAATACTCATTCTCTGCTTAACAAACCTATTAATAGCAAATCTCTGTAGACATACCACTCAGTGTATATAATGTTGTTTGTATTACCCTGTAAATATATTTTTCTTCTGTTAATCGCTCTACAAGTACTGCAAGTTTCTATTATCAGTTCAAATTCCTTGTGTGGATGAACTTCAACCAAAACTCATTCTTATTCTAAAACATGTATATATGCATTGCAACTAAAATAATTAAGGGTGAGAGACATTGATTTTACAAGAAATCTCAACTGCTACACAATTTGATCAGGGGGTTTATCCAATGGTGTATAAGAACTAAAAAAAGAGTAACAGTGAAACACAGCAGAAGGCTTTTATGTGATGTACAATTAAAGCGATTCACTGTATGCCCCTGAAAGCGAGATCAAAGCAGGCACATCAGTATGCAGAACAGGGTGCAGTATTGATTTTTGAGCTATTCCGAGGGCTCATGTAAACACAGGATCATTTAGACTGGGGATGTCTTCCACAAAAGCACACATGAGACTCCAGTTGAACCATATTGAATACAAGCATTATTGCTCTAGCCATACCTGTTTAGAATCTAGAGGTCAAGAAAGATTTATGACATGCCACATGCTTATCATCCACAACCAGAAATGGTGCCATTTTTAATAACACGAAGCAAAATGAAGGTCAGGTAGCACCACATCACATCTATATGAGGGGTCTCTCCCTTCGCTGATCCTCAGCCTTCCTGATGCAGCATAAATCTGATAAGTGCACCTGAAAGAATCGCTAAACAGGATTATTCTCCGATAGGCCACTACGCCCCATGCGGTCCATTTTGAGAGAGTTCACAGAGTGCCAGGAGACCACAAGCCGGAAGGATTATACAAATAAAAAAGGATAGATGCTGAACGACATGGTAAGCTAAAAACTGAACTCATTAATATTGAAATTTGAAGGGACAAGGTGAATTTTAATACCAAATATAATACCAAATTCCATGGCATGATGTGTGTGTGCATATATATATATATACTGTATATATATATATATATATATATATATATATATATATATATGGTCGAAACAATGATATATTTTCTTTTAGGATTCTTTGAAAATAATATATATATATATATATATATATATATATTCTTTTTTTTTTGGTTTCACTTTCTTTGGATGGTCCCTTTAACACATCCAGTTGACTATAAGTAACGCTGCACCTACATCTCTACCAACTCTCACTAATTTCTCACAAAATTACTTATAGTCAGTATATTGTCTGTTGGAGGAGCATCACAATAAAGAGTTAGCAAATATTAAGCAGACAGTCTACTGATACTCTAATGAGAGTTAGTTGACATGTAGTTGCAAAGTTACCTCAACAGGATGTTCAAAAGGGACCATTAAAATAAAGTGTTACCTTTTTTTGTCACTATAGAGGGTATGCACGTGACGTCACCGTCGGAAGGAGTGCCTGCATTTACTCACAGTGAGTAACAAAAAAAAAAAAAAAAACTGAGCGGCTGTATTTGTTTTCAGCTTGAATGCCGCGAAAAACAAACACAACACATATAAAGTGGGAAAGAGCTTTGCGATTGACTGTACAACTAGATTTGACAAAAAATTAGAGGAATATTTTTACAGACTGCTATAGAAAGAAGAGCAAATGGATCGCTGCAATTCACAGAAACAACTGGACTCCAGTCAGCGAAAGGTGGATTTGTTATCATTTTGTGTCAATATGCTGAATTTAGGTATAAAACCATACCCATATATTTTGTATTGTTATATATATATTAACAACTCATCAATTATATATTTATCATTGCAAATTCTGCATTATTGGATGTTTTTTAATAAACACTGACAAAAAAACAAACAAAAAAAAAACTATAAAGCTTTAGGGCTGGACGATATGATGATATATAGGCTATATATAACACTGATATATGATCACTCGGATTTAAACCTACCGATATTGTATTTATATAAAGCGTTCACAGGCAAATTTGCTTTATGTTTAGATCTATATTGCTTTTATTTCCCTGGTGTCGAAATCAGGCAAACATAAATGTCAGGCAACACGATTCCTGGCTGCATGTCAATATCCATGGATCACTGGATCTTCTTTAGTAAGTTGTAAGTAACACTATATTGAGTCCAACATTTAGTTTAAATTGATAAAATTGTTTGTTTTAGTCGCATTTTTGCAGTTTCCCCTATTAAATCCAGTCACGCAGCAGATCTTTTGCCACTCAGTCAGGCTGAGGGGGGTTGTTCTGGCGGGAAAGTGACATCAATGCATTCCCTCTATTGATCATTTGAATGCATCCTTGCTATGTATGTATGTATGTATGCTTATATGTGTATATGCATGTAAAGCACTGCTTAAAAAATGAATGCATGATATGAGGATGAGTAGATTATGTCAAAATGTTTTAATGGCTGTAAGTGAAAGTCTCATTTAAAGGGTTCTAGTCAAGTCTGGCACACTATAAAACACTACAAAAGGAGATTCCAAATGACTCCACAAAAACAGAATTTGTGCTACATAGCACAACTGTTTTCATTATTGATAATGAAATTATGTTTTTCATGGGCAACCAAATAAATATTACAATTATTTCTGAAGAAACAGGTGAGTAATGTCTCCTGAAATTTCAGCTTTGCAATCACAAGAGTAAATTACATTTTAAAACTGAAAAACAGTTATTTTAAATTGTAACAATATTTCACAATATCACTGTTTTTACTCTATTTTTTATTAAATAAATGCAGCCTTGGTGAGAATAAAATATTTATTGGTGAGCATAATAGACAACCCCAAACTTTTGAATGATAGTGTAATCTTTCACACTTTTGCCAAAAAAAAAAGAAGAAAAAAAAAGAACAACATCTTAGCCATAAAAAAGCTGAGGTATTCTTCATCAATTGACTGGATTATTAGCTGGTTAAGATATCTTTTGAGGACACTAGAACCTGCTAAACTTTTTGACAAGGCCTAGAACAGCACATTTAATGCAATAAAAATGCAATATGAACCAGAAATGACCTGGCACAGTGCATTCATTTGGAAAAACCAGCCCTGACATAAAAATGTACAACTAAAAATAAAACCTAAATGCAGAAAATAAAAATATATCTTCATAATTTCATTGCAGAACATATTTGAGGTAAACAACCTAATTATAACCATTTCCATTCTAAGCAAGCACATGTCCATGGGCAATAACTCTCTATCTCACGCTGATGCTAATTTTGGTCAAAAAGGCCCTGTGTTTGCCATAATAATCAGTATTCATGCACCATGCATGCTTGGCATATGTTCTCCCATATGCTTGGAATCCACTGCAAGGATTCGGAACGCGGCGTTTTAACAGTTCACAAGAAAACACTGACAACACTATTCCATCATGTTTGCCAGATTAGTTCATATTGGAGATAAAATGTGAAAGTTTCATTCGTGATGCTGGAAAGACAAAAAAAAAAAAAACAGTATCTTGATCTGCTGACAGCAGAAATTGCTTTGTTTTGTAGACACAAAAAATTAGGATGTGAGTCTCAGAGGAAGAAAAAAAAGCAATGTCAAACGAATGACATCCAACTAATAACCTCATTTGTTGATATGGTGAATGAGACACAGTTGGGCAGGATATTAGAGCTATAGTTATGCTCTTAAACATGATTATGCTCTAAAAAAGCCCTGTAACTAAGCTAATTTGGAGGTATGAAGAATGGGATCATGAGAAGACAATTGAATGTGGACAGTGTCAAACTGAGATCCTCAAAAAGCTCTCTGTGAAAGGATTTTTGTTTTAAATATTTTACTTTAGATACGTACTAAAAGTCAAATCATTTAAGGTTGCACTTTCTTCTAAGGAACAACTTCAGTACAATCTATGCGACAAAACATCAAGGGAAACATAAATCATAACTTCAATGTTGTGGAGCTCTCAAAGGTTTTTTTTTTTTTTGGTAAATAAAGCACACACTATTTCAACGAATAAACCCCAATAGCACAAACGCTTCATAAATCTCACTTTGTGTGGAAGCTGTCTGAACTATTTGTCAGAATGGTTACCGATAAGAGACAGGTTGGTTTTCAGTGGAATCAAAAGCATGTCTGAATGTAGCTGCTATTTCAGCCAGCATGCAGAGAAACACAAAAGTGTTGGCAGTGTGTTTGGAGAAAAGCGCATACTGTGTATGAAGTAGGGATTGATTTTCACCGTCAATTATAGCCATTTTTAGAGCAGTTGTAAATGTGTAAAGAAAAGCCAAAATGTTTCAAAACCATGCAAGGGAACTATAAATGATTATTGACAAGCATCTGCTCGGCAAAGATCTAACATCCCCTCCTGTTTCCATTCTGGCAAGTATGAAATACATCACACATAAGTAAAGAATGGATTTAATAGCTATTGAGCAATGTTTTAATTGTATACAGGGAAGACTGGGGCTAATAGTCACACTTTTAACACAAAGGTGGGTCCATTTTTTTTTTTTTTTTTTTTTGCAGACAGATATCTTAAATTCTTACAAAAAATCTATTAAACTTAAATCAAATCCCACCTGTTTTGTGACAACATGTCCCAAGGCAGAGGGAATAAGTTGTCACAACAGAACCTGTCAATATAGGCTTTTTAAAGAAAAATGAATCAATAAAACAATTATGAAAAACAAAATGAATGTTGTAATTAATAAATTAAAATTACAACATACAAAAGTCATGTAACACTTGACATTTACAAGAAAATACCCTCGCCTCGAAAGCCATTTTAAAACCAATTGCCTCGGTCTTCCCATGTGCACACTCATATACATTTCTATATATCATTGCATTTGCATACCGTATGTATTGCTTCTTTCTGAATACCCATAATCCAACCCTCCTGTGAAGAGATGTCAAAACATAATTAGCATTTATCAATCAATTTTTAGTATTTGTCAAATAAGTAGTGCACCTGTTGTGAGGAATTCAAACTATCCTCTCTCGGGCAAGTCGCTCAACTAGGACATCACAAAATTAACTAGAAATACAATTTGGAACTTGGAACAAAACAAGAACAGTGGGACGTCGAGACAGTTTATCTCAGCGATTGATACTGCCGCTACTGCAGTGGACCATGAAATTGTCATTTGTTCTGCAAGCGTTGCATCAAATGAAAGTTAAGGGCTACACACTGGCAAAGGTCTAAACTCTGGCAGTGAGAGGACCCCATGGCTAATTATATTCATTCCATACAAATGGTATACCTACTAATACAGTGGCATATGAAAATGCATTAAGATCTGTAACGTTGAATGATACTCATTGTGGTTACTAAGAGCAGCCATGCAATACAACATATCACGCACGCTGTCAATGTGTGCATTGTGTCTGTGAATGTCAGTCTATGTGTTAAAGAGAAAGCATAAGGGGAAGTAATGTATCCCATTTTAGAGATTACATTTTCACACTGGCTTTCAAAAGACATAGTTCAACCAAAAAAAAAAAAAAAAAAAAAAACGTATCATTTATTCACATTCATATTGGTCTAAACCAAATTTTTTATTTATTTATTCTGTGGAACACAAAAGGAGAAATTGTGAAGAATCTACTGGTTGTCCTGAACGTTTATAAACATAGATGCCTCATTAGTGGCTATTTCTATGGGCCGCTAAACATAAGCCAGCCGGCCAGCATATTGGAATGCTCAAAACACCGGTCCATAAACAGTACAACCATAGTTAGACTCATGTCTGAATATCTATACCTGCAATAGGCTTCATCAGATTTTGCTAAACTAACACAATACAACAAGACGAAGGCGTCAGCTAACACAACATTAACAAGTTACCATAGTACAAAACCTGTAATATTGAGTTAACATATAACACCAACCAACACATTCTCATTTGTGAAGGGTTATTAAGTGTAATGAAATATGCAGAGTTTTTAACATTTTGCTTATTTAATCATGAGTTCTGTGCATTCTCACATTACTCAGGCCTCATTCATTTGAATGTTCATCTACAAGTGTTGTTTTGGCTGTTTAATTTTTTTAAATCCTCCAACATAGCATCACACAGCAATATCAGTCCCACCCTAAGATAATGATAACATAAGTCCTATGCTATGCCTAGACTATGGTGGCCACAGTGAACTAAAAGAAGAATGGAGTAAATAGCTACCTAGTTTATTTCTAGATTAGCACCAGCCAAAGCAAATTTGAACTGAGCAGTTGATCATGTGATGCACTGAAAATTCACTTTGGTGTGATTGTTCACATCAAAAGGGTTAAAGTTTATCGTGTTTTGGGAGTGGAGGTACAAACTGAAACCCACTTTTTCCCAATTTGTGGCGCAGAGCCCTAGTAATCCGACTGTAATCCGACTAGTTGTACAGTCAGAATAAAAAAGTCATATGTAACCACGTCAATCGAATTAAATTTAATTTGGATTGTATATGGTGGTTTAAACCTTTTCTAATCCGTTTGATAGTACATGTAAACACTTCATCAGTTAAAAAAAAAAACGAACCTGGAATGTTCTGAGCATATGCAATGATGTTGAAGTGGCATATTGACGTTTGTCACACATAAACACTATGTTCGGATTCATCAATTGGAATGATTTAATTTCAGTTTAAACAAACACTGTCCATAGCTAGTGTAAATATATTAGTGATTTTAAAGAAAACGAAGTGAACATTAAATAATGGCAAAGGTAATCTGAATGTGAAAATAGAAGAAATGAGCATATCCGAGATCCGGATATGCAACAACGGTCAGTGCAATTCTTTAATTTTTTTCCTTTTGTGTTATAAGAATGACGTGTTTGAAACAACATGAAGGTGAGTAAATAATGACAGAATTGTAACTTTTGGCTGAACTACACTCCCACCCCTACCCCAAACACACACACTCCACATTTCCCCAGACAGAAAATATCATGGTCTGTGATTTCAGTAAGGAGCACAACAGTGAAAACACAGCGACGCTATAGATAGTGAGAGATGTTCAGAGACGGCGGAATCAGTTGCTGCTCAGGAGAAGAGAAAATGGCAGACAACAAATAAAAGAGGGATGTCGAGGAGGCGTATTATCAATATCCCGCCCTTCATGCAGCCGCGCTAAAGCAGAGAATGAGGAAGCCAGAGAGAAGCAGTCAGCATTTAGGAAAGCCACTCGCCCCAGCGCTACACATGACAGTGCCCACCATAATGCCACAGTGCTCGCTCAGAGGGGTGTCAGTGCTGTACTGTGCAATGCCACAAGTTCAAGTAATAATGCACAAAAAAACACAAAGAAAGAAAGTGAACATTTAGGGCTGTCAATTTAACAGTTTTTAATTTAAAGTGATTAACGCATAAAAAAAAAATAACACAGCTAAAAAAAAAAAAAGATCATAAAAAAAAATAACACAGCTAAAAAAAAAAAAAAAAAAAAAACGGGCCCTAACATGTTTTTTTTTTTTTTGTTTTTTTTTTTTGTTTTTACTTTGTAGTCATGTCAAATTTGCAATTATTTGGTTTGGATCTTTTAAAAGATTCATTTAAACTGGTTCACAAAACAGTCCAGGTGGTTCTCGAGTCTACAGCTTGATGGAATCGAGAATCTGTTTTGGACTTAAAATAATCCGGGTAAACTGCTCACAAACTTGTAATGTGCAAACCAATGAGTTAAGATGAAAGTAAGAGCATTCGGACTGAACCAAGAATTTGACTGACAGGGTCAACATTTTAAACAGCCAAAAATGTTAAATAAGGGGCTTTCGCACAGGAGGAACCTTTTCATAGTTCTTAGAACTATTGGCGGATTTTTATGGCGTTTTTGCACCGCAGGAATTAGGAATGATTTTAGTTCTATGAACTCCTTTTGGAAGAACTAGTTCAGCTCTTACTTCAGAGTAGGGTCTTGGTATATGCTGATTGGCCGAACGCACGTAAAACACCGGCACCCGCCATTTAAAAAAAAAATGTGTGAACACACAGATTATAGACTATATATGTACTCCAGAAACTAATTCTACGAACATAGAAAACAGTGATAGATGGACCTTCATGCTGAGGAAAAAATCCAATGCACCTTTGAGGGGACCAAGCGAAGCATGATTATGTATTTCTGTTCAGCTAACACTGGACATCAATCACACAGCATATGCTAATAACTTTTCATTACTGTATACTTTCTATGTATAACAGTTCTATCTAATGTCGTGTTAGACAGATAGTAAACTAAAAGTTCTGGCGTTCTCAGCATCATCAAAATAAGTCACAACAACAAGCACTGCTTACGTCACTTCAGAGTTCCTACTGGTGGTGTGAATGCAACCAGGAAACCTTTCTATGGGAGCCAATATTCCCTTTCAGCTCGGTCACGTTCCACGTAGTCGGACGTACCATACTTATGGGATAATGCATAGGGAGCCTGTCATCTTTAAGTAATGGTGTGTGAGATTTACATCAAGTTTTCAACGAGAGTGTGTTTTCAACGGTCATTCCCTTGTGTGCTTCGGCACTGGTGAAGGATTCCATTTCCTGAAAGAGCAACACGGATGCGTTTTCATCTTTTTTCACCATTCCAGATGTCATTCCACCCGTGGATTTCTGGATGTAGTTGTTCCCTGTCCCCCTTGGATGTTCACAATAGTTGTATCACATGTTTAGGCTTACAGCATGCTGAAGTAGCTTTTGTGGATAGTTTATGTCCCCATTGCTGGAACATGACTATCGCAGTGCTGAGATCAAGACTCAACTTCATTGACGAAGGTGGAATCCCCATTACCACGCCCCACCCCAGGGTGCCGTGTGATGGGTGATCGGAGGATTATAGCGATGGCTTCCTCACCTGGTAACCAATCCAGACGGGGAAGCCATCTCACTCCTCTATCACACCACAACCGGTGGAGCCCCCCCATTGAGTGCTCTGGTCCCTCTGTCATGGACTGACCAGCCTTTTCATTCTGGGCCCTACAGAGGACAGGATGCCGATTGCAGCATTGGAGGGTGAGCTGACCTCTGGAGATGATGACTTGGTTGCATTATCTCCTTCTGGGAGTGTAACGTTGCCTGAGCCAGATCCAGAGATGTCAGCAAAACAGTTTTTGTTGGGTAATTGGTTTCTCAGAGCGTGCTGTGCTGGTTCCTTGACGGAGGAACGATGAGGGGTTACGAGGCTATCCCTCCAGTGGAGTGATCTGCTCGTCGCTGAGGGCATCCCCCTGCCTCCACTTCTGCTTCCATTGGGCTTCTGCAGAAGCCTCCATCCAGGCCTCAGCGTGGAGCCAGACACTTAGGCAGTGCCAAACCAGGTGGCAAGTGTAAGACTAAGTTTCCCTGAGCCAGGCCACCCAGGGATAGTCAGATGGTTACCGTTAACAGTTAACCGATACCCAAATTGTCAAAAGAGCAAATTCCTCTGTACCTGGGTCACAAGAGGGTCAGACTGGCGGTGTGCAAACCTGTAGAGCCCTGCACCCCTCAGCCCCCTCTTGTGTCGCTAGCCGGCAGCTGGGTGCAGATCGTGGACCCGATTACGCCTTCTCACTCACCCCCTGCCAACCCGTGGAGACAGGTAAGTGTCACACTACACACTCAGATCCCGCTTTGGGCTTTCCGAGCCCTCTGGTCCTCATGGCCTGGTTGGTGGAAGCATGGAGAGTGCTTCCCAACCGGTCCAGCTGGCTCCCCAGACTAGGCTGCACAATTCAGTTCGGCCAGTGTCTGCCCAAGCTCAGCGGGGTTCGTTAAACTTCAGTATTGAGCGAATATGCCCCTGTCATACGCACAGAGATTGCAGTCCTACTGACGAAGGATGTGATAGAGTCGGTTCCTCCAGCCAATATGAAGACTGGCTTCAACAGCCCATACTTCATTGTACCCAAGAAAGGCGGTGGGTTACAGACAATCTTTGACATGCAAGACTTGATTCGGACTAAACGCAGAGACACATTTTCGAATGCTTCGTCCCTGAGATTGGTCTGCAGCGTTCGATCTGAAGGACACGCACTTCAGATCTCTATCCTTCCGCAATGCAAGCTAAGCCTGCCCGGAGGAGGCAGACCCAGCCCTGGCTATTCTCTGTCCCTTCCGCTCCTTGCGGTTATAGCTGGACAGAATGCAAAGCCTCAGTCCAGCTCTTGTCTGTTACAGAGTCCAGCAGAAGGGAAGGCTGTTTCCAAGCAGAGGTTGGCCCCACTGGATAGTGGTCGCTATCATCTTGGTGTGTTTTCCCAAAGTGCGCCATGTACCCCAGGGTGGTCAGTCTCTCCAAAGAGAGAGTATAGCTCCTTCCTATGCATCGACACAAGGTGCCTAGCTGAAGGATGTTTTTAGAGCTGCGGGCTGGGAACGCATTTGCTAGAAAAAATTGCTCATGTGTTGAGCCGGTTGCTTCCCGTTGGTTCTCTTCAAATGAAGCCAGTTTCACTGTAAGCCCGGTTCAAAGCATCGGCTTGCTGCACCATTCCTCCTATGGACTGGATACATGCGCCATTCATTCAACGCATGTGGCGGAGCGTCCGATGTCAGGCCAAACACTTGTATGCACTGGTGGAACCTGTGCTAGGCTGGGTCCATATGTTGTGATCTTTACGACAATCCCATATGTGTATTCTTCCATGGTACTGCTCCCTGCAGCAAGCCCTGTCCTATCTCCGCCTCAATAATGCAGGGGATCAGGAGGCTTTTGTCTAGGCACTGGAAGGTGGCAGCACTTGTGGCGTTTTAATGGGGATCCCAATAAGTACGGTAAGTAGACTACATTGACTATGTCAAACGTGACCGAACTGGAAAGGATTGTCTCAGCTACTTATGTAACCTTCGTTCCCTAAAGGAGGGAACAGAGATGTTGTTCCATCACCACTATTGCTGGACCACCACTGACTCTTCTTATATTCTCTTCTGTATTTATTATATATAAAATAAATGTGGTTCTTTCTGTTTATTAAAAAAAAAACTGTCCTAAAGACAACATCATGTTTTCATTTTCCTTAATAATTCTGGTGCTGGCTTCAAATAAATGCAGACTTGGCGAGCAGAAGAGACTTATTCCAAAAACATTTAAAAACTTACAGACGGTAATGTTGGTTTTAAAAAAAAAAATAGCATTGTATTCAAATACGCAAAAACATTTTATGTTAATAAATTGTAGCGCATTGTTTAATGTAAATGCAAATTTATATCTAGGTTCTAAATTACATTTTTATGGCTACAACTGCTTTCTCAGCAAACATTTATATGTGATGTGAATTATGTGAATTAATCAACATAATGTAATTAAAATGATAAAAACAACAACCATTGACAGCCCTATAAAAAAAAAAGTGACGACACACAAAGCTGAACGCCAGCAGGCATCCTGGCCAATCGAGAGAAGGAGAATTTGCAATGAGGAAGAGGTCATTTTTGGTTAGTGCAGCATTTCGGATCCCTTACTGAGCTGCGAACAGCATGTGACATACTGACCTGGACTTGAGACAGCACTAGTTGTTGTTGGTTCAATAATTGCTACAGGAAAAGAAAAGGAGAGGGAAAAGAGGACATTTATATATTATTAACATAATGAAGACCCCAAAGAAGGGAAAAAAGAACAAAAACATGCAAAGACTGGAGATAGGGGTGTGAAAACGCCTCTGTGGTCAGCAGGCAATAAAAGGGCCCTTCACACCACAAAATAAAACAAATCCCAGCTGAGGTTGATCATCTTGATCAAAATGTAATGTTCAATCAGCTCTTGTTCGGTTTTTATGTTCAGAGGAGTTTTGACGGAGTCGGTTTCAAATCTTATTATGATCGCTGATCTTTGATACTCTAAATTAGAAGCTTCTAAGCATCACTCAATTCAATGGACCGGAATGAAGCTCAGTTCAATTAACACATGAAATTAAATTTGCACCTAGCAGACAGTCGTTTAATCATGACGATGTAATATAGTTTTCATATTATTAATAGATATCATACTCTCTCAATTGCCCAAGCTCCCTTTTTGGGAAATGTTAAAAGCAGGACTTTAATGTCAATCCATTTTTAATCTCATATATGCTCAATATTTTCCAGCGAGTTACTTAACTGATGGTAATTAAAACTTAACTGGGGAAACGTCTAGATCTGCGGGAGATATACAGAAACACCTCTGTCTTCACATTTTCCATCTGCTGATAAAGTAAAATATAAAAAAGTAAAATATAAAAAATGAGAAACAGATCCATGCCCAATCCAAAGCAGAAGCATTTGGACCCTTAAAAGGGTGTGAATATCATTGCATTATACAAAATATTAAGTCAAGTGGCATCTGCAAACTTAATTTTTCCTAGCCATTTTTAATATTCCTGTTAGCCAGCTGGTCTCAAGGTCATTTTTTAGAGGATGTATGAATTCAATTCTCCTGAAGTTCACACAAATGTCCTTGTAGAGTAACCACAGTTGTAGTTCATCACATTAACTATGGACATGTTGGACTAAAGGTCAAGCAAGGTTTCAAGCATTTCAAAATACTTCTAATAAACAATAGATCTAATACAAATTTAATTGTTAAAATATACCATTTACTCCACTTTCCTGCAACAAAGCAAAAAGCATAATATGCAGCTTTGAAGTTTGTATTTATATTGAGCCAAGATGTCAATTAATCAGTTTAGATCTACTTGCTTTATGCAAATTCATAGGTCAGATTTCAAAAGTTGAAACTCTCTGCATGAGCTTGTGTTTTAAGACTTCCACTTTGACATGGATTTAAATGGAGTTGAATGAAACACAAACTCTAGCCTGATGGGATAGTCTACCTATTAAGGAATATTTTTTGATCATTTACTCATATCATTCCGAACTGGCATTACTATCTTTTTTTCTTCAGAACAAAAAAGAAGATATTCGGAAAAAACAGTTTTGGTTACTACTGACCAATTGACATTGTATGGAGAGAAAAATCTTAATATCTCAAAATATTTCCTTTTCTGGTCTACAGAAGAAAGAAAAGCATACAGGATTAAAGCAGTGAGTAAATGATGTCAGAATTTTCAGTTTTGGGACAAAAAAAAATATTTAGTTTTTTGTTCATATAATTAAAGTCGTAAGGTCCAATGTAACCCAATGTCCCAATGTAATCCAATGGAGCCCAATTTTCTTCAAAATCTATTATTTTGAGTGTCACTAAAGAAAAATGCACACAGGTTAGGAACAATGAATTACAGAAGCCCTGAACCACAACTTAAAAAAATAAATAAATAAAAAATCTATCATTTCGAGATTGAAGTCGAAACATTTTGAGAGTAAAGTCGAAAAATTTCGAGATTAAAGTCGAAACATTTCGAGATTAAATTCGAAACATTTCGAGATTAAAGTCGGAACATTTCGAGATTAAAGTCGAAACATTCAGAGATTAAAGTCGAAACATTCCCAGATTAAAGTTGAAACATTCCGAGATAAAAGTCGAGACATTTCGAGATTAAAGTCGAAACATTTCGAGATTAAAGTTGAAACATTTCGAGAATAAAGTCAACACATTAAGAGAATACAGTCTTCCATAGAAGTGTGTGCATTCATAACAGTGTGCATCTACCATGAATGCGTGTGTGTGTGTGTAGAAATGCACTCAATCGACTCAAAATAGTAGCTTTTTACTTTTATCTGGGCTGTCAACAAAATTCTACACAGGTGACACATTCTATATTAACACATTCTACACATTCTATACCAACAAGAATTACCATGGTCTAAGTCTTCCAGTGCAGTATATTTTATAATGTCCTACAATGTTAGCCTAATGCTGGTAGATTGATACCAGTTGCATTTCCTTTTGTTGAAACGAAACACACTCACACACACAGGGTGAAACATTCGCTATGTACCATTATGAATGCCCGTGTGTGTGACAACTTGAAACAATGGCAAGCACACACGCAACTTCTACAGAAGACTGTATTTTTGTACTCTCGAAAAATTTCGACTTTAATCTCGAAATGTTTCAAATTTAATCTCAAAATGCTAGATTTTTTTTTACATTGCAGTTTAGGGCTTCCGTAATGAATAAACAATGCCATTTTTTTTTTTTTTTTTTACTATCCCGTTATATCAACCGAAATTGTCCTAATTCTTTGTATCTTAATTTTAATCAGTCTTTCTATTATACAGTAGTTTGTAACAAGGCAAACTTCCTTTTGTGAAATGTTTTGCTTGAGTTATTCGTATTAAACATTTCACCTGGTTCAATTGTTTGCTATCTCATGCAATGACATTCAAATACTAAAAGCAACCAAATATTTTATTATAGTTTTGGTGTACTTCTGCTCGCTTATTAATGAATAATGAATGAATAATATATGACAAGTAGTTCCATGACAGACACTGGTCATTTGCTTTTAGGAAAATACTCAAACTAAGTCACAAACAAACCATCTGGACATTTGTCAAATGAACCATCATTCTCTTCCAAGACCCTTTGTGACAGTAAAGATGAACTGAAGGAAAAAAGGGTCCGTGTTTTCTCTTTTGTTGTCCAAATCAACATTACAGTGACTGTTACAGTAAGAGTGACCATGTGATTAAGGGGTGTAATGACCTCAACAGAGGCTTCTCTCTGGTAAGCCCTTTGCTAAATTGAGAGCCCTGGAGTTGAAATCACAGCACCTAGAGACAGTTCACATCATTACTGTTCGCAGGTTCATGGCCAGTGTTGAGACGGAGTGTGTATGAAGCAAAAACACAGGCGATGTGTGTTACCCCTTTCAGCTGACGTTCGTTTTAAGTGCACAGGCATGCAACCAAGAGCAATCATCACTACTGACAGCACAATGCACACTTTGGGAATAAATTTACTTTGAAAGTAAATCAGAAAAAGGTATACAACGAGATTTAAAGGAGTTAAATTTGAAAGATTATGAACAAAGGGCTATTTATTCATAGATGCATTGCATGAACATACATATAGGCTATCTTTGGTTTGTATATCCAGGAGTTTCTTTTTAATTTCTACTTCTGGCCTTGTGGAATTTCAGAAATTAAATTACTTTGTTGATTTGTCCTACATAAAAACATATACCACGTAAAATTCTTTCATTTTAATTATCTCCCACCCATAAATATCATTTCCACCACATCTCAAAGCTCAATTTATTCTATGTGGGAAATTGCCTTGATTTTTTTTTTTTTTTTTTTTTGCTCATTGGACAAGCAGTTCTAAAAAAATAATAGATGAATGGATATTTTTTTGCAATGAAATGGAAAACAACATTCATAGTTAGCAATTTAAGTTTTTATTTCTATTAGCATTTTAATTATTTTTATGCACAATTTGACAATATTACAGCTTGATTACAACTGAGAGACAATAAAAGAGTCATATTTACCTTACGCATACCTCAAGCAAGTTGTCTCCTTGGTACATAACTACAGTACACTAACTATAGAATTACAACTTATGATATTATAGATAGTTGTATTTTTTTTTAAACATATCTTAATCTCAATCAATTATTTTTACATTTTGGTTAGATTATAAATGATATTTATGTAGAATGTTAAATTATTTTTCATATTGACGATCCTAGATTTATAACTAAATAACTACATAACTAAATAATCAGAACAATTCCTTCTTTCTTTAAAACATCTAAATCTTTAGTATTGATACTTTAGTATCTGGGTACAAATACTTGGCTTCCTTTCAGATATTTTAATCATTAATATTTTGTTTAATGTTTGATATAAATATAACGTTTCTCATTCTAAGCAAACTCGGCCTAAATTGCAATTTTAGTTTAGAATCCCAGTTTTGCTAAACAATGTTTCTTCTGAAACAAAGATCATGTATTATATTCTTAGTTTTTTTACCCTAAAAATAAATCGTCTCCCTCTGTTAATACAGGATGAACACAGTAATGCGATTTGTGAGATTTCTTTCCATGTGGAGCTCTCGGTCTTTATATTACAGTATTGCATGACGTGTAATCTTCAGGTACTCTACAGGGCAATGGAGTAGCTTGCCTTGCATTCACATAAAAGCTGATTGATGTGTACACTGGATGACCTCTCTTTACACTTGCAAGAAAAAAAAAAAACATCATTGTGGTGGAAGGAATTGCATTTCATTCTACATCTTATTTTTTTCCTTTAAAATGAACAAAGTGAGAAAACCCCTGAGTCTAAATTGCCAAGATACAAGTGGAGTGCTATCTGCTGTGCATTGTTATATCATTTTGAGAGTAAAACAAGACTATGAGCTGTGTAGGAATTCATTTATTTTACGGCATCCCCTTAACGATGGATTTGAAAGCACAATGCACAGTACTGATGCAGAAAAAACTTAGGCTGCATCCTTGAACGGCTAAACCTTCTATCTTTCATGCATGGTCAGACACATCGTAAGGATTGCCTATTTCTCCAGGCGGTTTTAACCGCTGTCTCCGTTAATGATTGGACAGGAGGTGTTTTATAGCCAAAACAGACTCTTTGCATCACAAACACCTTATTTTTCAAGGACTTGCTCGCTGCACATCCAGCGTGCAAATGGC